GTACGTGAAAAGGGAATCACTTCTCGGGTGACCCACCTCTCGGGTGGCACAGTGTGCCTTTAACACGTTGACGACCGCGCGGGTTTTTACTTTTCGGCCACGTGGGACCGCGCGCTTTCTTGAACGGCACAAGCGCGGCATGCATACACTTCAGGCCGTCCCACGAAGCGCTTTTTTAGGAGATTGGATCGAAAAACCTAGTTTTTAGAGCAGTTAAGAAGTAAGTCAATTATTTACCACGGAAAAATCTGGGCTGGCCAACTCTCTTTGCACCAGGGCCAGGAAATAGTCTGTAACCAACAATTCATAAAAAACGCAAATCGTGCTTTCTATAGGATTCAGAATCCTTCACCTAATATTTTTTCATCATTATCAATATTGTAATTGTCTGTATTTGTTGGCAGAAAGTTAATCAGCAAACCAATCCAGAGTAAAGGAGCAAAACAATCCAAGCAAAGGATGATGTTTCCCCAAAAAGTCTTTGCTAAACTATTGTGTACTGAACTATTCCATGGACCACGCGCTGTACGAGTATACCAAGGACTGGACTATAGAATGAATAGGAGAAAGGGACACGGTCCCATATCAAAGGTTCATTACGCGCTGATCGTATACTCCGAGTCACATGTGTTATCATGCCTTCATCATTGGCACGGCTTTCCTTTTTATTGCCTTAGAAGCGACTCTACAGCAAGTAAGGCACGACACCTTTGACTGCCCATACAACAGGCGTGGAATATCCCTTCGTGCGGCCCGAAAGGGCGGGTGATTCAGATTAGGTATTGCAATAGTTTCAGGAGACAACCTTGGTTAGCGAGTCTATGAGCTGCTTTCCCTTTAGATTATTCGTTGTTATCGTGTGCAAGTAGAGTCTTTCTGAAAACTTCTGATCAATCCAGCGACGAAATTACTCATTCTAGTCACATTGAAATGTCCACAAATGCCCCTACGCTAGCGCTGCTCGATGTTAAAAGTGTTGGTGAACCTTTAAAATCAAACGGTTGCACGGAAAGTCAAATTTCGTCCTAAGGAAAAGTTATTCTCATTCAGGTTACGAATAATATTCCGCTGGAGAACTTTTATATCCATGAGCTAGCTGAAAACTACAATTTGAAAATGGACTACGTAAAATGGGCACGTGGCCAGGTAAGAAGAACGGTTACTCATTTCCGGGACAAAGTTTTTGAGGTACATTCAGATACAAAATTATGTAAAAAGTAAGTTTTGCGAAGTTTTCCTTCGCTCAATTTTCTAGCCAAAATGGTACTTCATAGTGATGACGTTTAGGAAGGCCAAGAATCCCGAGTGACGTGTTGGTCAAGCTATCCGTTTTTGATGAATGCAGCTGCTAAAGGCGAGCTGCTGTACGTTGAGGCGGTTATATCAATGCAGGTACTGTAGCTCACTGCTCCTCTTTGTGGTTTTGCAATCTTTTCAGTTTGTCCACTTACTAACCTTGACCCAAATAGTTACTGACCTATACACGCATACTGTAATTAAAACAAATAAAAAGCAAAATAAGAGAGAATCTGAAGGTATGCATGAGCGGGTGAATTAGGCTGTACATAAGGTCTCCGGTGGGATGATCTGGGCAGATTGTCCTCGTCTTCGGTTAAATAATTGAGTCCCGTTTTAGAGTCTTCTCTTATATGGAGAACGTAAGGAGGTGACATTACCGAGGAAGCGCAGGCAGTTTAGGAATGTCTTTGATATGATCCCCGCCGCGATGTAATAGTGGAGGCCATCTTTTTTCAAATCTAATTTTTTCTGTAACTTCTGGCAAGGTAACAAACTAAGCTTTTACCATTGATTGATCCTTCTCTGAATGCGGCTTGCGTTCTAGTTCTAGTCAGAATAGTAATGGCATTTTGAATGCCATATGACCCATATAATGACTTGCGGGTCCCAGTCGATGTACAATCAGTGTTCTTATAATCCCAGATTATAAGAACACTGATTTGGTGGAAATTTTAGCAGGCCCCGGAAGAAGAAGAGCCGTGCGCGTGGTAATCAGGCTAATTGTTTCTATACAGTCTTGTTTGCCTCGGATGATGAGGCGTGTCAGTGGGGTTGAGTCTGGCAAGTCGTCAGCCCGTTCTTCATCGGTTGCTGAAGCAGGTGAGCGGCGAAATCGGGAGGAAAATGACTGGTACGAACGATATGATACAGTCTTGTCGCTTGCCCAACGGAATTGTGCCAGACCAATCCCCATCATCCGAGCAAAGAACGCCGTAGCACCTCCGCCTTCTGGCAAACCAATCCAATCCCAAAAGCGCATTCTGCGGTGACCACGTGGGCGGAAACAGACAACCATTATGACTTTCTCATTCATACATCGTACTTCCTGTGACGCTAGAGAAGGGGCGCATTAGCGAGGGAGGCACAGGGGTTCTACCCATTCTTGCCCCTCCCGTTTCTCAGCTCGACCGGTTGCACCTTATGAGCGGCTTTACTGCTTTGCCATGCTTTCGTTCCTAGCTAGCACTCGTTTGAGGTTGGAAACAACTGGGCATCGGAACTGGCGGGTTTAGGCGGTGGTATACGGATTACTTTGTATCATTGGCACGAACAGCCCATGACTGCTAGCTTTCGGCAGAATTCGTGATGTGCTGTGGAGTGTGAAAAAGCCGGTTGGTCCGAATAAAATAGATGTTCAACTTTGCCGCAGTGTCAGTGGAACATTGCGATGGATTTTGAGCATATTTCGGATGTGAAGCTCATTGATTGCTGGGTGATCAGTAACTACTCCTTTGAAGGAGGTGGGCACAATTGTTGAGGCAGGCGGTTGTTGCCAACGTCATTGGTGGAAGGGTTGAGTGGGGTGTGCCCACGTGCCCTCTCGTCCCACTTCCACCAGTGGCGCTGGCAACAATCACCCCTCCAGCAGTCCTGCCTTTGACCATGCTTGAGAGCGTCTTAGTTTTATGAGGCTGTCCAAGCAAAAATAAGTATAAACATGGGGACTGCTACTGCTCACTAATAATTCTCTTTGCAGACGTCGATGAATGGTGCCAGACTAAATCTATTTGGTTCGATCTTTCTTCGAACAACCATTTTTTGAGTTAACAGTGAGACGACCGCATATTGTACAGGATACAATCAATGGACTTCTGTCATCAGATCGACGATATTTGCAGCGTCCTCTCAGGGTGGGTTATGCTCTACTTGTCCTTAGGTTGTAATTATAAAAGGCATAAGGCACGATAATTTGTTACTAATCTCAAATGGTAGGAGGGGACTATGTGGTGGGAAAATGGCTAAAAAGCGGTGTGAATGGTCAAAAACATGCAAAAAAGCCTTTATTCTTCACGACTCAGCAGTTTTGGACGAGTTTCCCGTTGGCACCGTGCCAGCACCGGCTACGGTAGATACGGCTGCACGTGTGTTGTCATATATCCAGGCAGCACCGCAGCCGCTTCATATCAATCCCTTCGCTTCATATTGTACTACGCAAGTAGAGCGATACGAGCATCAGCATCGATTGGACATTTGTGGACGGCGGGCGTCCGGCTCTATATTGCAGCTTGACAGGGTACTAAGCGTGCGTTAAGGACACTTTAGCCTGGGGGGGGGGGGGGGAAAAAACGCGAAAAACACGCAACCTGTCGGAGGAGGCCGAATTTTGTCCTGCCTAGACGCTACCCTAATTCTTACACGTCTTAGGTAACGTTCAGACTTCGCGATGTAGCGCCTCGGTCGCGCGTTGAACGCGATCGATGCAGTCGAAAGCATGCGCATCGATCGCGTCGAACGCGCGACCGAAGCGCTGCCGTCGCGAAGTCTGAACGCTGCCTTAGGATCTGTTGTCATGTCTTTAATGCGCTGGCATGAGACCGGGAAAATCTGCTGGCTTGTTGAGTTCAAGACATCGGATGGTCACTGGTCACATCACCAGCGTGACTTCGCCGCTGAAAAAGGGTTTCAAAACTGTGTGGATGGTCTAAATCTAATCCCTCTATCACTATTAATGTAATGTTTTATTAGCTTACACAATTCTCATCTTCCATCTCTCTATCACGAGATTGAGGTGTTGGCCAAAAAATTAAGATCCATAGGGATATGCCAATAAGAAGTTAGTGCTCGTGATCTGAAGTGTTCTTTAAAATTTTCTCCTTTCGCTGTTTTGAATGGTAAAGAATAGCGGACCTAATATGTCGCTATTTGTCTAGGGCGTGGATATGTTTGCCAGTCTTTTTTGCCTACCCCCGTTTCAACAGGAAAGAGTGAGGGATGAATATCGGTGTGAAAACTGGGTAAACTAGCGCTCAACGACTCATCAAGTCGGAATATTACATGAAAGCCGCATCTTTGGCCGCTGCATCACATTTTCCATAATTATCCATCAGATTGTTCATTTTAGAGACGCTTAGTCATGAGACTTGCTTTATTGTAATAAGGTCTGCATAACACCGCGGCTCGCACTCCGAACGTTATCTCATGAATGCTAATTTGTGAGCAAAAATCTTGAACCCAAGTGGCGGAGGAGGCGTCGCATCGTACCAGGGAGATCCCGGTAATTCTTATGTTGAACGTGCAAGGCTATAGCACGAAAGCCATTGAGCTGAATGATACAAGCGCTGGCGCACTTGATGCGGGTTCGAGTCCCTCCTGGGGTTTTGCTCATCACCAGCATTCTCTCGATGACTTGTGTTCACTTCAGGTACATTTCATGGGCGAAGAAGCAGAGGATGCCGGTGGCGTCAAGAAGGAGTTCTTCATGATTTTGTTCCAGAAACTTCTTCAGTCAGAGTAAGTCTAGCTTTCTAAGAGAACTGCGCAATAACCAAGTCATACATATCTGACATAAAGGCACATTACGATGGAGCGAGGGGCGGAGACACTGAGCTATTGTGCTTCTCATTGGCGCGCCACTGCTTGAGAAGCGCGCCAGTAAAAATAGTTTGTAGTTGTCTACGCCTCTCACTGTTGGCTATCGTAGTGTGTGCCTCTGATGGGAATCGCTTAGACGATTTTTTTTATTCTCTCGGCCATCAAGATTTACCATGAGAGGGATTGAATACCTTTTTGATTTTTAGGTACGGTATGTTTGTTGAAGATCCAGATTCGCACTTGGTGTGGTTCAGTGATATGAGTGTGGATAGAGAGTGAACTAATTACAAATGGTCGGAATCTCCTGCGGTACTAGCTGTACTAATTCGGTTCCTATGTGCGCTTTCGTTTCCTCTTTGGTCGCTCTTTACGCAGGAGTAACTGGTTTCCGACTTTTTTTTTTTTGGTCGTTTATTTGTTCCTTGGAATGTTTGTCCTAGATCCTCCTTGGACAACAACCAACCCTGGAAGATTTAACGGAGCTCAGTCCTATTGAAGGTCGAAGTCTTCAAGATTTGCTGGATTATCAGGGTGATGATTTTGAAGTAAGCATAACAATTCTATAGCTCACTTCACTTTCAAGAGCTAAGTACCTGCACTAAAAGCGGTGCCCAGTAAGGCGTCGGCTTCCTTGTACACAGTAGGGTGTTGGACTACTGTCAGTCACTGAAGTGGCTCCGCCTTCTTGCGGCTTTACAGATAAGCAAAAGGGAACAGGCTGGCTCCTCAGTCAAGTAGCAGCTCCGACACTCGCCTAATTGTCCCGCGTTCAAACTCTAAAAAGGGAGCTTTTTCAGGTCGTGGCGCGCTTTTCAGAAATGGTTTGTTGCATGTTTGTAGGGGTCCAAATAGGGATCACAAAAATGGGTTTCGTTTTTGCTTCATGGCGCCTCTGGGGAGGTCAAAAAATGGTGAAAACTTTGCTGGGGAAGAGCGATTTTGAACCATTTTTCTAGGCTTTTTTTTCTATCTCTAATGTTGAGTATGCGCAGCAATATAGAACTCTTCGACCACTTCCCGCCGCCCGCCCCCCCTGCACTCGAAGCATATCAATCAGGGTCTAAAAACGTACATTATTTGGCAACATATGTGAAGCAGCATTGTAGTTCTCAAGCGATTTCTTGCGGCCTCCCACCCGCCACGTTGGGGGCGGGGGCGCGATTCGCAAAAAGAGCAATGTCTGGCGCCCGATCTAGGCGCACATTATTAAAGGTCGAAAACCGTGATCGAAGGCCGTCAATAACGCTCTATATAACAGACGTTCAGCGAAATATTTTCTCCTCCTGCGAGCTTGAGCGTCTTAACGGTCCAATGCGTGCCGGGTCGACAACAGATTCAGGGCAAGATCTCTTTGCAGCAAATCGGCGATAGGCTGCGCCATGGTCTAAAAATGAGTGTCGTACTCGTGAGTAGGGTATCCAGTCATCCCCGGAGCCCAGCTTTCAGCAAGCGTTTGCTCAGTAATAGTTTCGAGAGCGCAATAGTTACGTAGGGTCGACGTGGACTAATGCAGCTTGTATAGAATGAGGTCTTAAATGCCCATACATTTATTGCTTATATACATCACCGCACGCGCACAGCAAGAAATCAAGGAGACAGACACTCGCGCAGAACGTCTAATGTATCCCGAAAATGCAAAAAGATTCGCGGCGCAAGGAAGAATCCGATCTGCAAAACGATCCTCCGTAAGAGCGCGCGCACTATCCACGCCGGCAGCGCATCCGCCGGTCACGAAAAAATGGGTTTCGCGGTTGATTGTTGAAGTAACTTCGAATACTACTTCTTTCTCGCATGCATTTTCTTTTTTGAACTTATTTTGCTCTCTTCGATAACATAGTGAGGAGATACCTCAATAACTAAGCACTTCAAAGTTAGCAGCTCCAAACAGAGCCCAATAGACGGAAATACATCGCCCTTGTCAAAATTGTTTTCATAGTTTTTGACCTCCAGAAAAGCATAGGCAAAAATGAAACCCTTTTTGTTGGCCCCTACAACAAGCAACAAACCGTTTTCAAAAAGCGCGCCACGACCTGAAAGACCTCCCTTGTAAGGCTATTTTCTGAAACGAGTTCAGTTTTACATCGTCATTGGCTTTTATTTTTCACCCGTGAGACGGTATTAGCCATTGCATGACGCCAAAGAAACGCATCAGGTAACCAGAGCAGACGGAGTCTGCCTTGCTGGGCATCAACTAGTAGTGGCCGAGGGTCCGCTCATTCACTAGTTGGGGGTTCTCGCATGATGTTTTTTGCTTTTTTTTCCTTCATGAAGAGCTGATTTGGCGCTAGGTTTGTAGTTGAATGCCCGTGTCCACAATTATATAATCGGGGGTTTGTCTTTCAAGGAGTCATTCTGCGATTACCCCGGTAAATGGAATTACTTTCCGCGATGAGCAAGTCCCTGGAAGACAGAGTGCCCATTTCTCTGCACAAAAGTGCGTAAGAGGAACGCGGGGGTAACCTTCTGCTTAGCTTCGCCCTTGATGTATAGATGTCCACCTTTGTCGAACGTGCGATTCACTCATGCAGCAGAGCTTCTCTGCGTCTCTACTCACCACTTTCTCCTAGTCATCGCTTTCTCATTCGTCCACGAACTGAACCTAATTTAGAGCGTTTCTATGGATTTCTCTGCTTTCTTCTTTACTGGTTATTGCGAAAGATTGACAAATAGAAGTTTATATTTAATGTTTGTCCACGACTGATAGGCTTAAATGTTGTTTAAGAAGTTCCCGCTCAGAAGCTGGGGAAAAGCAGGAAGAGACCGAAAACTGATCTAATCCAACCAGCGAAAAAATGAAGCTTTCGTCATCGATCTTTTTTGCGTGATGCACCACGCTTTTTACTTTCGTTCAGAATTGCGGTGTTATTTTGAATGTTAGGCCTATGCATTAGGGGTTGCCGATGTACAATTCAGACTTTTTATCCTCCCACACGTACCCGTTAATAATTACCGTCCTGATAGGGCGGAAGACAAACAGAATACCAAATAATTTGCAACATTTGTATCACTTGAATCTGCAGCATTTCACTGTGACCGTTGAGATGAAATTGCCCGCCTCAAAAGAAGAGAAGAAACTTTTTTGAGAGTTTCTATGGACCTTCTGGTCCATTGGACTCTCAAAGATGCAATTGTCATCCTTTTCTAAGTAATTTCCATGTTCTGCTGAATCCCTAGGATTTGAAAGTTGACTCTCTTCATGTATTTCAGGATGTCTTTTGCCTCAACTTCACGATATCGTACGCGGCTTTTGGCAGTACAGAAACATCGGAGTTAAAACCAGGTGGAGCTGATGTACCGGTAACGCAGTCCAATAAGGCTGACTATGTGCAAGTGAGTTTTTGTCGAGTAGGTTTTCGTTATTTTCCATCCCCTAAAATTGAGTTCAGTAAGTCAAGAAAGCCTGTGAATAGTCGGAACTTTTGAGTGCGTTCTGAAGCAAGGGTAAGAGCGATGGTTTGAAATGCAGAGACGCTAGATTCAGGAGTCGAGAAAGAAGAAATATGAAAAGGGTAGGTGAGGAGGCGGGGGTATAAGGGGGCAAGAGCAGGATAGAGCCAGCTCATGGAGTGTACACATCGAGCTTGCTTTGTAGGTGGCGAAGTGGATACTCTGGACATCTTATACTGGTCTCTACCCTTGTATCTTCAGAATCTGTCAAATCTAGACGTGTGCGATCTAAGGGTTCGACCATCAACATGAGTTGTAGGAGTGAGTCATGGAAAGCAATTCATGAAGCATAGCGACATTATCCAGTGAGCTGAGCGTTTGGTATTTCTGGGAGGCGGTCAAGACAATCTTAGTTCGTTGCGTCGCTGTGTCGTGCTATGCGCGGCAAATCCTCGATTTGCATCAATTTGTCGACTGGAACAGCGAAACTCGTATCGATTGAGCAAAGGCAAGAGTCCTTGACAGGTGATATCGAAGAAGTCTATATATAAACGGCCAGGCAGGACAACTCGTTTGTCGAGCGCGGCATCGCTCGTCACGCACACCAGCGCGGCATATTACGGATGTCTTGTCCCACATACCCGATATCTCTCAGTACCAGGGCGGCGGTCTTTTTGAACCTCAGTGCGACTGATCCTTGAATCGTGCAGCTGCTTCTAGTTGACGCAATTACTGTAGTTCGACGGTTATGATTGGTGTCTTCATTTTCTCATGGCGGCGGAGGCATCGTCGGACTACAGGGCAGGATGAGAGCCGATCCAGCATGCAGAGGAAGTTCAGGAACATTCCACTTCCTGTTAGGGTCTTCCACGAACTTCGCCGTCCTGTGCAACGAAAACTTGTATGCGCCGTGAGCACAATATCTCTTAGTGCCCATCCTCCTCCGTATAGTCGACCTCTTGGAGAAGAGGTTTTGGGGAAAATCAGTAAGTTACATGAAGGAAGGCAAACTTGGTCGAATGAATCAAAAAAGTAACGCACTGCTGAAAATGACCTGGCCTTCTACCTGAAGCAGTTATTATACCTGAAGCAGTTATTTTTCTGGCTTGTAATAAATTGGGGTTGACGTCAATGGGATAGATTTACCCTACTCGAAATAGGCTCCCTTACTCTGGAGCTCCTTCCACCTTCAGACTTTGACCGTACTATTAATTTAGCTATTACTGATGAATAATCAAGAATCACTCAAAATTAAGATCTATGCAGTTGAAGGCACAGTCCGCGCTCATTTGGTGTTGAGGCGCCTTCTTCTGAAATGGTTGTCCTACCTGCAAGCATGGAGGATGTACTAATTCCGCAACTGAAAAAAATGCGTGATGAAGGGCGACCCGCTTGCAACGGAAACACGGCTCTGCCCAGTAGACGCGGCTCCGCCCAACGGTCATTTTTAAATGCCACCTGACGGTGTGAATGTTCCATCACTGACTATCTCCAAAAATGGTGACACCGAGAAAGAGCTGGCACCAACATGTGTGACCGGACTTTTTCTTCGCCTTAAAGGCAGTTGGCACGATAAATCCCCCAAGACGACTAGGATCAATACTCCTGGCAAGATAGAATTCTGCGACCTGGGCAGGCGCTGCATAGCGGTTTCCCCGAGGAAGGTGCCCTTATAAGGGCCCTATCAAGCCACAACTTTACGTCCCAAACGCCCGCCACGCCCGCCCGCCCACAAATGGACGACCGTTCCTGACGCTCGTATTCATTCATTTGCTAAGCAAATTATGAAGCGAAGGGATTGGTATGAAGCGGCCGTGATGCTGCATGCATACATGGGTACACATATGCAGCCGTATCTTCGGTAGCTGATTGGTAAGATGCCTACGGGAAAC